ATACGTCACGCGCAAATTACATACCCCCGTTGCGTAGTAAAATTTAAATTACCGCATGCAGTGTTTCGAGGAAAAAAAAATACTTTTTTGGCACAGTAAAGAGAAACAAACAGGAAGTAGAACAACAACTGAGTGATGTCACGTCGCTGACAAAGGGGAAGGGCTGAGCTTTCGAGTACGAGAGAAAAAAAAGGAGGAAGAGCACCTGCGCGTGTCGTGTTTAGAGTCCTGCACGCGTGCGGAGGAGGTGATTTCCGGCGGGCGGTTTTTATCCGTCTCGCGACGAAACTCGTGATCCGGCGTCCAATGATTCCGTAAGACTTGCCATTTTTTTTTTTTTTTTTTTTTTTTTTTTTTTTTTTTAATTTTGACTTCATTGCGGGTTGATTGGGGTGTAGGGTATAATATAACAGTCGTCGTCGAGTGTCTCGTTGTTCGGTTTGCATGTTGATGATTTTTATTTATTTTTTTTTTCCCTTCCGNTTTACAAAAAAAGAGAGAGGTGGAGATCGATGGTTGGCAGGAAGCGAAAGAATGCACTTCCGGCGATGCGGCCTCCCGGAAAAGCATCGGCACTTCTACTGTTTCCTCTACACAATTTTCTATGAGAGTTTCGTTCCCTTTTTTTTCTCCCCTTTTTCGAGCGGTGCAATTGTTGTTCCAGTGGGTGTAAACTGTGATGGGTTCTGACATTGAATCGCCATTTTGGGGGCTGTTAAATGTTTGGGTCTCGGTGGCGCTTATCTTGCGCTACCATGCAACGCTACTTAACAGATGACTCCAAAAAAGAAAATAAGCTTAAAAGAAACAAAAAAACAATCGAGTTTCCAAAGGTTTCACTTTTCAAGCTTGGGCTTTTCGCGCGCATTCAAAAGCAAACAAAAGAAAAGCCGGGCGCACGGCTCTTGTTTCTAGGCGGGATAAGGAGACGCAGGCGCACAAAGGGGAAACGGTTAATCCGTAGAGAAAGGCCTGCAGCAGAGGGAAAACTTGGACGTTTCTTTGCGACTGGATCTGATACGGCGATTAATCCTCGCGGAAACGGGAGATGCGACGGAACTAATGTCTCAAGCAACAATGAGACCCGTAATATTTCATACTTCAGACTCCGACTGGCAACATAATCCACGATCGATGTAATCCTGTATATGTATCCATGCCACGTGGGAAAGTTATTCGCAGTGAAAATAACACATACACACAAAGTATTTTTGGCTCGCCACCACTGTTATGGTCACAGACGATTTGGAAATGAAATTAATTTTTGGATTTTACGTGCCCATGCAACGATAAATCGAGAGAAAGTAAAAGATTCAATTGATTTACCTCGTTAGGAAGACAATCAGCCTTCTAGTTGACTCGTGACACCACAGCCACGCGCTCGTAAAAGCAGCCTCGTTCCGAATTCAAATGGAAAAAAAAAAAAAGTAAGTACACCAGAGTCGATGCATGAGGAAAAACAGAAAGCCAATCAGCACCTCGGTACATTCAGAAAGAGAAAAGCGCTCCGTGTCCTATACGGACAGAGCAAACTCCGACCGATGACTGAAGCGGCGCGTCGTTTCTCCATGCGCTCTATTAGGGGAGAGAAAAGAGAAAGAGAGTCGAGAGATCCACCCCGGCGTCGAACGCTGTCGTCGTCGTGCTCTAATTAAAGCTCGAGCAGGCGTGCGCGAGCGAGAGGGTGTATCGACCGAAAAGACCTCCCTCCCGAGTACAACGAACCCTTCGCTCCTCTCTCTCTCTGAGCTCCTGAATATTCAACAACCAGATACCCTCGAAGTGCACCGAGCTCTGGTGTAGGTATATGCATGTATATATAAGCTCCTCGAAAAGCTGCGCCGGAAAAGATGCGATGAACAGACGGGGGGATCTTGGGGCGGATGCTCCTTCTTCCTCCCTAGTTTCCAATCAAATGGAAATTAGGCAGTTTCGCGAAATTAGCGAGCTTTCGTGGTTCTCGAGTGTGATGGTGGTGATGATGGCACCACAGAAAGAGCTCTAAAATTTTACAAAGAGCTTTTTTTTTCATATAAACGTCACATCGTTGCAGCGAAATGATGTTGCAACCGTGATAAATATCCTCGATGATATCACGTGATCGATCAGCTTGTATGGAAGTTGTCACCCTCGTCACCCCGTTTCCACAAGAGGGAGTGTTCGTTAGTTAACAAGTGATAAAGTAACCGCGCACACATACTGTTAGGTAATACATCAATCATTAGTATCATCACCGACACATGCAGTACACGGTGTGGTTGATAGAAGCAATTGCTTTTGGCTCGTACCTAGCCAATTTTCAAAAAAATGTAGGGGAAGTGGTAGAAGACACGTGCGATTTTTCACTCGGCAAGAGTCCCACAATGCGAGTGACGGAGCATCGGTGAAGTAATACAACGCGACCGCTTGTTTGTCAACGTGCACGTTGTGTTGTAATCGATCTCGACCCCTCTCCTGTGCTTGTGTGTAGGTTTTTGAGCCAAAAAAAAACTTGTAAGGATTTTTCCCGAATACTCTCGTGCGGACAAGAAGAGAAAACGAGTATTTTTCTGTCTGTCATTTTGTTTTAGAAAAATCACCTGCAGTGGAAGATACCAGTTTGCGTTGACTGTACAGTAACGATGATGATGATGATGATGATCATGATGATGGTTGAGCTCCGCCTCTTTGCTACCATACGCTGTAATCCACATGTATTGTGGTACGCGTGTGGTGGAGGTGCGAGGTGAAAATTTTTTTTCGACAACCGGTTCCACAAGGGGAGGACGCTGATTTTTGTACCGGCGTGCGTACATTGTGTGCAGCGCCGTGAATGTATGAATAATGACAGGACTGCTCGATCCATTCGCGCTGGGGTGTACGAGGACTTTTTTTATCTTGATAATAAACGATTAGCTTGATTAGGATCTCTGTATCAAGGGAGTGTCGCGTGTCCATGGGAATTAAGTATTTTGAGCTCTTGGTGCATATGAGCAATCATTTTTAACGATTATGACTTTTATGACTATGAAATTAGTTTTTTAGGTTTTTACTGGGTTTAAAAGTAACAGGTTGAACTGTTTGTTAACGAAATGATAATACGAAATCCTATACGTTGTTTTTAAAAAGTTAAAAAATTTACTAAATTTACCTTTATATTCTATACCAATTTTTTTAACTTTCGTCAAGTAAAAGTAAAATTAAAAAAAAATAGTACGAGGAACAAATTAAAGTGCTAGACCGGTACTGCGACTATTCAAAGCAACTTTTCTAAAAAAAATTTGCTTACATTCGCCAAGTGTAATTTATTTCGTCCTTTCTTTTGTCATGGTAATTCTGATGGTTGCACTTTTCGGATGATTTTTCGAAATGATTTTTTGAAGTAAAGTAGTTTTCGGACAGGTTTTGTTTCTTCAATTAAAAAACAAAAAACATTCACAAAAAACTTTATGAAGAAGCTTCATCATCAAAGTACCAAAAAATTAATACAGCAATGTAGCTTCAAAGACAATTAAAAAAAAACATTTGAATGTTAATAAAGTAGTTTTGAGCTACGTTGGATATAAATTTTTTGGCACTGTGCGTCCAAGCTTCATCATAGTCTTTTTAGATATGCCACTCGTGTGAACATCACCATCATTGTGCATAATATGCTCTATATTTCATAAACCGAGTAATACTCGAAGCTTGGCACCCAAGGGAAGATAATCGAACTTCCTCAACCATTAGTCATCCCACCGGGTGCAACAAAAAAAATTCAAGTTCACATGGGAAGGTCAGCATCTTGAGGCACGCGAGCGCTCGTACACACAGGATCCCCCCAAAAAAATAAAAATCAGTGACCCGTTAAATATTATGACCATTCGTCCAATATACATATACATACGCGCACTTATCCGTTACGCATCTCCAACGCATACACGTATCGAAGAGCACCCAGAAAAATCTTGACGAGTCCAAAGTCTCTCTCTCTCTCTCTCTCTGTTTTTTTCAGTCCATCGTGTCTACTCAGCTGCCTGTAGTTCAGCTTGCTTTCACACGCTTCGTCCGTGTTTAAAGGGAGCAGGAGAGAGAAAACTCGGGCGCTCTCTCCAGGTGAATTCGCACAAAGCCGATCGAGCGAGAGCCTGATCGATGTGACGGGGAGTCTCGCTCGCGTTTTTATGGAAGTTCAAAGCAGTTGCAGCTACGGAGGTTACACCAACAGGGGAGGTTTCCCGGGTGCACGTACAAATATACGTATGGATCTTGATCGATTTATTTTTTTTTCCTCTTGTTTCCTCCTGTCTTTTGTGTGGCAATGATTTCAGGACATTTTTAAGATGAGGTGCGTGTAAGTGCCCGCATATAGTGGCGAGGACGCGCTTGCGTATGGTAATGAAGGGTGGGTATATAGACGCAAAAGAGGGGTCGGGACGTATTTTTTTTACATTTCGTACTCGAGCAAAGTTCTGGGACCGAGATAATGTATGCGTAGTTTTGATTAATCATGTGCTGGAAAATTTTTGTTTGAAATTCATTTGGAAAAAAAATAAACTTCATCGAGATGACAGCGGAGTTTGATTGATTAGTCCATTCATTCAAAATTTAAATTTAACAATCAAGTCCAAAAAAGATACCTCTGTACTAAATTTTAGTAACATGTTAGGGTCATTTAGTTTTTTTGGTGTAATATCCTTTTCTCACGTTGGTCTCGAATCTACAGAGTTTCACTTTTTTTGTACTTATCAATCAGCCAATTAGACTACACCGACCGACGTGCATTGCATTCTATACAGAACCTACACACATTTATTCAAATTACATCGTGTATTGAAAAGTTGTAAAATTTTCGATACAAATAGCACATGATTTTAATTAAATTAAAAACTCGCTGATGCGATCCACGAATACATATATTAAGAGGAACACTCAGCTGTCTCGGTATAAAGTTTGACAGCAAAGAATTTCAAACTGAAGTGCCTACACACTGTGTGTGTGTGTATTATGTACGTGTGTGGTGGTTGTAGCAAGGTACTTACGACAATGCGATTGGGGGTGACGTCGAGTGGCCGGGCTCCGAGGACGGGAGTGGCTGGAGCACTGCCTCTTCTGCATGCCTTCTCGTATGAAGTGTCTGAAACAAGTGAAACGCAGAAATATAAGTTACCTTTCACAGCAATGTTTATTAAAATAATTATTTAACGTACACTCAGTGGAACTCTGATCTGTCCCGGACTTTATTTCGGAACTATGGTGTGAAGTACTGTTCAATAATAGGGTCCGGGACAGATCGGAGTTCCACTGAGTATACGATTATAGTAATATTACATTAAAATTATCGATTTTTCATTGAATTATATTAAAGTGACAGTAAATATGATTTATGTGACTTCGGTAGGGGCAGCCGTTTCTATTTTTACTAAATTTATTACTTTGGGGAGTTGACTGCAACTGCCACAAAAGTGTAGAATCGCTTGCAGGGAAAAGTTCCCGAAAATCCATTTTTCCTTCCAGTTCTCACTTTCTCATTACAATACGTCCAAATGGGAGTTTTCTTGGTCTACCAAAAGCCACCTCATAGCTGAGCCACTGCGCTGACAACTCGCCATTAATCGAGCGACAAAAAGAGTCCTTTGGATATACGAAGTAGGCGAGAAAAATTACGCAACGTCGGGGTAAAAAATGACCTATCAAAAATTTTGGCTTTTTTACGTGACGTCTACGGTATATTCTCACGCCTCGTGGTAAGTAAACGAGAAATGGAATGTCACGCGGGAACGCGTAAAGAAAAGAAAAAGGGGATATGCGTAAAATTGGAAATCAACGAGGAAAACTTAAGGGGGAGAAATTTTAGTTGGGGTGAGGAAACTTGAGAGGGTCGGATTTGATGCATATTTAACGATAATAAAGGTAATGGAGTTTAAAATTGTTTATCCGGATATTTTTATGATGTTTTTATTGAGTTGTACAAATGTTGAAAATAATACATTTTAGTGAAAACATAAATTATCTGACTCAAACGTTAAGTTGCAAATCGTCGAAGCAAATTCTGGTACGTACGGTAGTAATGTAAAATAAATGTTAAAATTTTTTCCTCATTTTATATATAATTAAAAAGAAATGAGAAAAAAAAAAAAAAAACAATTTCCCCACATATGGCAAGCGAAGACCTCCCGGTAGAATACGGCTCGTCTCTAATCGGGCGTAACTTTTTTCAGCCGATCATCAGGTGATACGTCAAACCTTACATACCGCACGTAGGGTGAGTCAACTAAAAAGCCTCTCACACGCCTCATACTCCTCGCCTCCTGGCATAAAGCCCTTTTGTAATATCGGCAAAGAAAAAAAGGAGGGAAGGAGAGAAGGCAAAAGCAAAAAAACGGAACAAGCCGAAAATGTGTAATCGAAACAAAACCCTCGACGTGCGATACTATATACTGCGTGCATCCTGTTTTTCTTTTTTTTTTTTTTTTTTTTCTTACACGTCCTTCTCGTTGACTGTACAGGAGACGAAGGCATTGCAATCCGGTGATTTAGGAAGGACAAACTACCTAAGACCATGTGTACCTAATATCGTTGGTCATGGAAATCCCGGATGATTCCGCTGGATCTTATTTTCCAAGGCATGAGTTTTCAAAAGTCTCGGTATCCTGTAATTTAATGCATATTATTGTGAACCGATGATAATTTCCAGGTCCTCCAATAACATCGAGTTTTCAAGCTCTGCCGTACCAAGACGTTCCCGCTTTTGTACAGCCCCATTGCTTTTCTTTTGCTATCGGCCACAAAATATCCCTGCCCAGATCTCGCGATTCGCACGGAAACGCACGCACGCGGAACCGAACGAGCGAGTTGTGCTTCTCCTCGACCCTGAGGGCAAACAATACCGGGCTCTCCGTCAACTTTACGAGCGCATCGATATGAACCAGAGGAAGAAAAAGAAAAAAAAAGGAAAAACACACGGGAACAAACGCGAGTTTCCTTGCGCGAAGTGCATATACGTGTCGCAACTTGTGTCCCTCTCCTTTGGAAAAGAAAGGAAGCTCTCCGTGTTTATGTATACGGCCAGCAGCACGGGTAGGCGCCTTTTGTCAAGCAGGGACCCAAAGAGCCTATTCTTCGGTGAAAATTCTAGTCTCCACCGTATACGTACGCGACGATTGTGGGCTTTTAATGGCCCGTACGGGCTTTTCTGAGAGACGAGAGCAGGACTCGTCTTGCGCGGAAGCCCAGCCCTTTTGTCCCGTGCTGCTCCTCTCTACTTTTTCATTATTTTTCGCGCTCGGGCCTAATGGCTTCTGCCTCGTTCCGCTGGGACTGCAATACTTACGTGGTGTACATACATATACAATGGGCAGACGGGCACAGAAAGTTTAAACATGCGTGAAGGGAACTTGAGAACGCGAATTTGTACAATGGCGCGCGTTCGAGAAAGGCCGAAGCTTTTGTTCGTGATAAATTGTGCGGAAGGGAAAATTGTTTGAAAATAATGAGTAGTGCGCGACGGCGATAAATGTACGTAATTTGCGTGGCGAAGGAACAATGGGAGAGTTGCTTTGAAATATCGATAGCTGAATCGGAGACTCGTGCGCAAGGAGGTGTATTAACATTATTTAGGAGAAAGTTTATGAAAAATATCACGCTCTTTGGTACACATTGAGCATACGATGCGTTCATCACTAAAAAAACAATGTAATCATGATGTGTGTGAGAAGTAAGACATTGTAAAACAATTATTGACATGGTTGACATTATTTGTATAGAAAAAATGTACTTTTAAAGGTTTTGGTTCTGGTTAACATGCGTCAATCAACTTCTACTTGGACAACGGTCCTAACTTTCATTTAAGAGTTGGAAGGAAAAAAAAAAAAAAAAAAAAAAAACATAAAAAGTGCCGCCACCAGCAGTAGTGCAGTTAATTCAGAAAACTACTTTGAAACATTTCTTTCGTGTACAATGTCATCCCTGTACTGGGTTTTGGTTTCCGGATTTTGAAATCAACGCCTACGATCAAAGAAAAGCCGAAAATAAGGGCGCATCCTCCTCGAGTGAATAGCTCTGTCGAACGGACGCATGCCTGCCTATACACACTCATAAATGCATCGATGAGCAGACTCACTTCGTCACGCATCATTGTGTAACCATGAAGTACTTTTTGTAGACTTTTTTTTATTTTAAATCATGCTCACGAAAACGTATTATTGGAGAAAAAAAAATTGTTCGTTGAAAAATACATTTTGCGCGCCATTACACGACGCAATACCATGTCATTACAGTTCCCCGTTGAGCTCGAAACTGCTAATAATCCGCGGCACCTCGAACTTCAAACTCTCCTTTCTCCCCCCGCCTCTGAACTTACTTCTCGTGTTTCCCTTCAATTATCCCGACTTGCGATTTGAAACTAACCGTATCCACTCTGTTGTAGTTGTTGTTGTTGTTTGTACTAACAATAGCGTCTCAGAGTCAACGCCGATGCCGACGACTTTGTAAGCCGTACCTATAACATAGCGCGGTACATTGTACACCCAAAGTGCGCGCACGTGCAGTACCTCGTGTGCGGGGTGCACAAGTACCGTGTACACGTTTTATTATGTATAACATGCGCAACTCCGCATTCCACGCCTGCGTCTCGGTCAGCGAAAATTGCACGCGAGAACCAAAGTGTGTACACAAATGTACTTGCGCGTGGACACAAAATTTGCAATGAAAGCAGCTTTGACTCCAGTGGGTGAATTACACGAGTAATGCGGTGTATTGTGTGATAGTTGTATACTTTTGGGATCTAGTAAAAGAAATTTTTATTTCGTAATCTCGTCGATATGAATCTTTGTGCTCAACGGTTCGTTTTTAAATAGTGGGGTCGACAGAGTTGGCCATGGTCCACTTGGTTAGTACACTCAAGTGACTTGAACTAATGTGTTCGAGGCTTTTTACTGGATAATTTCTATTGGGTTCAAATCTAGAAGTATTTGAGTGAAATGTCTGTAAAGTTCTAAGGAAAATAAAAGTGACTCTAAACTATCGTTAGTATTTAAAATAAGCGGCGAGAGAATCAAGATCGTACTTTTTTTTTTTGGTGTACCTAACAATAATTTTTATGAGTAACAATAATTCACGTAAAGACTATTAAAAATAGTGGTAATTTAAAAAACAACAATTACTAAAAATTGTGCTCCGATCATGAAGGCGGAAATAGAATAAATCTGTCATTTAATGTTGTACCAAAAAACACGAAAAAAGCGTATATGTTCTGCATTTATTGTAGGATAAATGAAGCTCGCGAATAAAGAAATAAAATGAAGTTGCGGTCTCAACGCCTGCAGCCACGGCAATCTCCCATACACAAGTGTACGGTGGTCTGAGCACCATCACGGCGCACTCTGCCCGAGAAAAAAGCAGATAAAAAGACCGACTCTCGACATTATCTCGCGAACTCGTTCAACCAAATAGCCTCATAAATGCTGTATATGCCCAAAGTAGATAAGAGGCGAAAAATCACCGGCTCTTCCGGCAACGCTTCGATCCAGCCGTGATACGACGTATACTGGCCTCGAGAACGTCGATCGGCAGAAATCGTTTATCGGATTATATTTTCGAGGTCAATGGATCGAGCGCCCCCCAGGCACGAGAGAACGAGCGCTTTCCAATTGATCCGTCTCTGTATACGTAAGAGATTAGGCGCTCTTTCACTTGGAAAAATCTCCTCCATCTCGCGGATTCGGCTCTATTAGTACGAAGGAGGCTCCCAAGGCCTGTGATTTTTTTTTTTCGTTAATTGGCAGGCTATTTGGAGCACGGCTCATTCATCGCTTGGAGAACGGCTTATAAATTACTCGCCACGGAAGGGATAAACGCGAGATAAATGTTACGCTGTTTCACGTGTACTTTACATTGAGACGAACAGACGTAAGTTGGTTGGACGCAGTTTTTGACAAACGAGGCGAATTTATAACGCGACTCGATGGTTTTGGCGCCATTTGTACGTATTTCCCGTCACTAATCGGTATGACTCAGTCCGAGGGGAGCTAATGAACTCGTTGCGAATCAACTCGGAGCAGTGCCTCGTCTAAGATCGCCACTTGTTTTCATTGCCTGTACGTACAAGAAAACGCAATGATTTTCCGATCGAGCTGT